ATGTTATCCTAGCACAAGTCAGCTTACATCCCTAACTAACTTTGACAAGCCTCAGACCAGTGAGAGACCCTGTCTCAAAATAAGGTGGCAGGTGCCTGAGGAACAGTCCCTGAGGTGGTCCTCTGGACGCCATCCCCATGTTCACATACTTGTACACACATGTGCACTCACACACACGGAGGAAATGAGAACACTTGGAGCCCCTTTCTCTCTTTATTTCCCTTCTTGTTTTTCTTTCTCTGTACTTCTTCCTCTCCCTACTTAAACTTATGTCTCCCTCTGAGGACATTGAAGCCACAGGGAAGTGTGTGACTATGTATAGCTATGGCTTGGTAATGTTAGTGCCAGAAGGGAAGGAAAAGGAAGGGGCGTTCACTGTGGGTACTACATCCCTTCTCTAGCACCCCCCCCATGAGTGTTTATTGGCTACTGGCTTTAGCCACTTCAATGAAAACTTTCCCTCTAAACACTAGTAGTTCTTCTCTCCAGGATTTAACACATTCCCAAAAGATATTAATAGAAAAACTATGCTTTCTTTTTTTGTTTTAATTTTTAGACAGAATCTTGCTACAATAGCCTAAGCTGACCTTGAAATTGTAGTCCTCCTGCCTCAGCCTCATGGCTGTTTGTATTACAAGCCTGTACTACCACGCCTAGCCTTTTTGTTCTTCCTACATTAAAAAGAAATCATCAAACCCATCAGACCAGCAGGAAGGCTTAATGGAAGTCTCTGAATTTAAAAAATCAGGAAACAGTTTAAATGCCCAGGATAAGGAAACTGGTATGGATGAAATAGACTTCAGAGAATTCATGGGGCTAGGAACTAGAGGGAGGATCATGTCTACTAGGAAAAATATTGTCAGCAGCATGCTACTGTTTGATGAAAAAGAAAGGTACAGAGTGTGTATAGAATATACAGATGTTCCTATAGGAAAAGAAACATCTTTATATTTTTATTGCATAAAACAAACCGTAGGAAAGTGGACATCACAGCACGTGCTTTAAGTTCCAGCACTTGGGAGGCAGAGGCAGGGAACACAGAAACAAAGAGTGTTTATTTCTGGGGACTAGAGAGATGGCTCAGTAGTTAAGAATAATTAAAATAAAAATGATAAAATCTTTTAAAGATTTATTTTTCTGGTGGGGGAAGATTC